CTGTACCGTATACAGGTAATAAATTTCCTTTTTTTCATTTAACAATAAATGTGTACCGTATTCTTCTTCATGGAAAAATAAGACATCCCCTGAAAATAAGACCTAGCGCATCTTTGGGAGCAAAAATTAATATAAGACACTGTCTTATTTTCAGGAAAGCAAGGTAGCAGGAAAGTGCCCCCCTTAGCCATTGTTATGGATGCAATTCATCACTGTCTGTGTCCTTCAAGTCTTCTGAGACCTAATATTTTGCCTTAAATAATGCAGAATGCATTTTTACAGGTTTCCTTTTGTTTACTTTTCATTCTTTCCTGATTTCTTTCTTTAAAAAAACACACACCTACAAATTATGAGCACCTCTATGATTCAACAGAAAACCATGGGCTAATAAACATTCTGTGTTGAGCATGGAATCATTAGTCCCAGTATTTAAATATTATCTATAGTTGTTTCTTCCTCACTATTGAGAGAAAAAAAGAGAAAACATTAGACCCCAAACCATCATCTAACAGAAGTTACACTGCAATATTATCACCATTACAGAATAATATAAACTTTAAATGGGGCAGGAGGGTGGCTCGGAGGGGAGGTTGCTAGTGGTAGTGTAGGAAACATATCATTATGCTATCTCAAAGGTTTATTCTGAATGAATTACATAAACCTATATTGTTAGTATTATAGTATAATAAAATTGTGAATTTGCTAGAATGGTTATATATATATATATATATATATATATATATATATATATATATATATATATATTTTTTTTTTTTTTTTCTTTTTGATGGAAAAAAATCTTTCTCTTATAACCTAAATTGAATTTGTATTCTTAGACCTTTTAGATAAATATTAAGAACATTTAAAATGTTGAGGAAGTCTTCAAGAAGAGGCTGCTATGTTTGCAGGAAATTTTATTCTTGAAGTAGATGGGTTCTTTAACACTATTTTCTTAGACAGTATTTTGTTTTAAATTTTCTTAGTTTTTATAAAGTATGTTTGATACAGCAATTAAAATTAAAGGTAAAGAGGACTTGAAATACTCAAAATAAAGATATAAATTTTATAATTAAATATAATTACATGAGAAAAATGATTCAATTAGAGATTAATCTGAAGATTTGAAGTTTTTCTCTTTTCTAATGTAAAGAAGATAATGAAGCCAATTACTAGAGTTCAATTTTTTGTTTCATGTTAACTAAAATGTAATAATGAGGCCATGTTTTATTGACAATGTTATTTGAAACTGGATTGATTAAACTTGTTTGCTTTAAAACCAATGTTTATATGTTATAATTTGAGTAGTGTACTAAGATTCTTTGCTGAGTTACCTGGTGAACCCTTGACTATGCTATAGTCTCGTGATTTGCAAAAGAGTGGTCCCTGGACTAGCAGCATTCACATAACCTGGAAACTTATTAGAAATGCATAATCTTAGGTACTACCCCAGATCTACTAGAATCTGTAATCTGTGTTTAACAAGCCCTCCTAGAGATTTTGAGGCCCACTCAAGTGTGAGAACCAATGCTCCAATCGGTAAGTCCATGACCTTCATCATCTTATCTAACCATGTCACTGCACACAAGTTTTCTCTAGTTTAACTATTAACAGGTTAATAATTAGAAGATGGAGTCCAGAAGCTACAAAATTTTAAAACAGGGGCTGGAAATGGAGGATGAGGTAGTTAATCTCTGGCAGTAGTGCACCACAGTAATGGCTGAGGACCCAGAACCTATTCCCAAAAGATGATGGTCCCATTTACAGTCAACAAGAAAAAAAATTCTCTTTGCCTGTGAAGGACTTAAACTCCAAACCAAGGAAACTGTCCAAAAAATGAGTCACATCAGGGAAAAGAGAAGAAATTTCTAAAGGAAAAATAGAAGCAAGCAAATGCATATACACCTATACCCACCCCACAATAGCACCTAGGACTGTATACAGCTGAGGATTCAATGCTGTTCCAGAAGGAATTCAAAACAGCTCCACAAAAGGAGGACAGAGTCCAACTACAAACTTACAAGCACTCACAAGCATCTTGAGATTGTAATAACATGTCAGCTACAAGAGCTCAAGTCATCAAAACACTCAGCAAAAGGTCAAATAAAGTGCATTTCATTCTAATTTCAAGCAATATTACACAGAAAGGTATGCCACCCAAGTGCAGTGCACACATAAATGGGAGTAATCCTCCTCCCAACAGTTACACGGTGAAAGTCAAACAGAATACTGTATTGCTGCCCATACAATTGTGAGGATCTTCTCAAATGAAGGTTTTCCCTTCTTCAGAGTTAAATGTCAGCTACTGTAAATCCCAGAGCTATGCCCCAGCCAGGTGGTTCAGTGATAAAGCATCGGCCTGCAGACTGAGGGCCCCCAGATACTATTCTGGTCAAGGGCACATTCCTGGGTTTCGGGCTCAATCCCCTGTGTGGGGCTTGCAAGAGGCAGCTGACCAATGGTTCTCATCATTAATGTTTTCATCTCTCTCTCCTTCTCCCTTCCTCTCTGAAGTCATTAAAAATATATTTAAAAATCAATCCCAGGGCTAGCTATCCTTCCAGCTGTTATCAGCTTCCTAGTTCTGAGTCTGGCACAAGGCTTTACATAATCTTGTTACTAGGTATATGATCTTTTTAAAAAAAAGATTTTTTTTATTGATTGGAGAGAGAAGAAGGGAAGTGGGGGAGAGAGAGAGAAAAGTCGAAGCATCAACATCCATCAGTTGCCTTCTGCATGCTCCATGCTGGGTATCTAGCCCGCAACCTGAGCATGTACCCTGATTGGGAATCAAACTGATGACCTCTTGGTGCCTGGGTGGACACTCAACCACTGACCACATTGGCTGGGCTAGGAATATGGTCTTGAAACACAGAACAAAACAAACTTCCTCCTTCACTTTACACTCACAAGAAAACTGAAGTTTTTAAAATAACTTTTAAGAAGGCAGGAAACCCAGCAGTAGTTGCATATGAAATGAAAGCACTTACTGAACAGAAGCACCTGAAAAGGTAGACTCTCATCCATTGCTAGTCACAAATCCTGTCATAAGGCATCAGCTAGCAAAGGTCTCTGATTTCACAGGGCTTCTCAAACATCCCATATTATAACTATAAAGTACGTATTGGAATTCACACACTATTAACTGTGTTTATATTTAGAGAATCACTGTGAGGTACTTCATTATATGTAATTCAAAAATGAAAAAAAAAATAATCTAATTCAGAAAACACAAATCTCCCAACTAACCAAACCAAAGCTTTATAGTTCTAATATTTGAGTTCTTGACAAAAGAAGGCAGAATACACAAAGTTACCAAGCAACCAGTGATTTTAGAGGCCCCATTAAGTAAGTGTCAGTTCACAACAACCAAGGAGAAGTGAAAAATGAGGAAAGATTCATAATCTCTCTAAAAAGAGGACTCACTCTACTGCCAATATCGACCACTCCACTTCTAAACAGCTCATCAGAGGTAAAGCACCTTGCAGCTGTTTGCAATGCTCACATTGGAAAGTAGGCAATCACAGTGTGAAAAGGAAGATGTATCTAACTGACTGTGTTAAGGAAACTGGTGCTGACATTCATCTGATTTCCTTTGATAAAAACCACTTTGGCTCAGTCACTGTGATCTTAACACCATCTCAGAGCACCTGTGGACCACTGTTCACTTTTAAAGAGTTCCTAGTCGGCATAGACAATAGTGCAGTGAAGGCCTGGGAGGGGGGGGGGGGGCTGGATGGAGTGGAGGATATCTGTAATACTGTCAACAACAAAAAAGGGTTCCTAGTCGGAATATTCCTGGAACACAGGCTGCAGACCTTGTCAGATGATAAAAAGAAAACTGAGGTACATGAAGTAAATTATCCTGTGTTGACAGAACAAGAAACAGGAATGGACAAGAGCTGATATTTGGAGTTTTGTTTAGCCTAGGTCACGTAGATTCTAATAATCTATATTGAACAATTTCTACATAAACACAATTATTTCATTCTATAGTGAGGTAACTCAATTAATTTTTGAAAAATTACTTCTCTAAACTTTAAATGTTTCCTGGAGATCATCTAGCCAATACTGAACTTAAGCCATCTGATAGATGGTAAAATGGGAAAAACTACAGTGCCAAAAATACCACCGCCCAGCCCAAAAGTCACCATTTCTGTTAGAATGACAATGCAGTGTTGATTTGTACCAAAATTAAACTCTTGTTTAAGTATTAAAACTTTTGCTTTTATGGAACAAGTTCCACTTATCTACTACTGAGAGACGTTCTAATAGGCTTTTTAAGAACAAAAATGTTTTATAGTTATCTAAGGGGAACCTTAAGCACAACCACCACTATCACAGATGATATAAAATGTTTCCAATCTAACTATTTCCTAGAATTGGAAAGAAGCACCAGTTACTAGACTACACAAAAGAACTCCATAGCACCACTCAGGTGTATTTCACCATCAAACTGCACAGAACTTTTGGTATTTAAAAAACAGAAGTAGGCCCAGCCCACAAAGAACCCAAGGAATGTGACCTTTCTCTTAGACCCATCTCAAGAAGCACATATCTAGTTTAAAAGCTGTAACCTGATGTGTACTCATACAACTAATTCAATGAAATTTAAAAACCAGTATAGTCAGCAACATTGAAAGATTAGAATTATGAATGAGAATAATGGTTACTTATCCTTTATTTACTAACTTGAAAAGCTGTATTTCTTTCACTTACTCTGTTATTTTTTATTTTATTTTTAAAAATATATTTCTTTAGTGATTTCAGAGACGAAGGAAGAGGAAGAGAGATAGAAACATCATTGATCAGCTGCCTCCTGCACGCCCCCTCCTGGGGATTGAGCTCACAATTGGGGCATGTGCCCTTGGCCAGAATTGAACCCGGGATCCTTTAGTCCACAGGCTGACACTCTATCCACTGAGCCAAACCAGATAGGGCTCTGATATTTCTTAATAGATTGAAGAAAACAAAAGGAAAAGAGAACCATTATTTGCACTTACGTTTTGGCTGTGACATCCACATACTGTCCTGGGCGAAAGTGAGCAGCATAAAGAGGAGTACCTTTATAAAAAGAAAACAAAATATCAGTATGAAGTCTGTCTGTCCAGAAATAACTTCACTAAACATTAACTACATCCAGGAAGCCTTGTAGATAACATATGTCAAAACCGGCAGATTCTCTTCTGCAATAATAATTATTGCAGAAACACCAATTATAAGATAATAAAATTATTCAACACTGACTACATGGAATGTGGTGCTAGAGCGAGTCAACAGACCACGCTGGCTGATGGTGTGCTTTCACAGCAGTCAGTGAAGTGCTGGCTGAAGTGGGCAATTCTTATACAACACAGTGTTTCCTGCAGGCAAATACAGGGATAATTCTTGGTCATTTTGGTGAGTACAATATACTAAATTAAGGTACATTACCTATTTCATAGAAAAATAAAAATAAAAAAAGAAAGATAAAAAATGTTGGGGCTAGACCAAATCGTTTTTTACCCACTGGAGATATATGATCCAAAACAGAAACTTGAATTATTTGAATGAACACAGGTCCATTGTTCTCTGGGTAATATTTATGGCATGTATGTATAATATCCCAATAAAGCCCATATATATCAGATTCTTGGTAGACTGATCATTATTCCAATAAAATAGATATTCTCGAATATACCCGATATCAGGATTAGCAAAAAACCGCTACTATAAATACTACTAATTTTATATAATAATATTTCCAAAACTAGTTGTATTTAAATAAAATCTAATTTTAAATGCACTTGAGAAATGTGTTATTTAATGGTATCTTATAGCCCAAGCCCTTCACAATATTTTATTTATATAAATTTGGAATTAACACTTTTATCTCCAAATATTTATAGGGCACTTACAATATGCAAAGCAAGAAATACAAAAGTATAAGACATGGCTCCTGATCTCAAGAATTTATTATCGAAAGAGGGATTGAGAGAGGTGGAATAGCATAGGGAGGGAGGTTCAATGATGGAGACTTGACTTGGGATGGTGAACACACAATAGTGTACTGATGATGTGTTGTAGAATTGTGCACCTGGTAGCTGTATAATTTTGTTAACCAGTGTTACCCCAATAAATTAAATTTTATAAAGAATGTATTATCTAAGTGATAAATCAACATTATAAATCAAATAAGAGGACATAAAAGGATACTTCTCCAAAGAAGATACACAGTTGGCCAACAGTCATGAAAAGATGCTCAACATCTGTACATCAGGGAAACGTAAATCAAAACCACAATAAGATACCACCTCATATCAGTCAGGATGAATATGCAACAAATAACAACTACTGGTGAGGACGAGGAGAAAAAAGAACCCTGAACACAGTTGGTGGAACTGCAAATTAGTTGAGACACTATGGAAAACAGTATGAAGATTCAGTCAAAAACACCACCCAGCAATTCCACTCTGGATATTTATCAAAAGAAAATAAAAATAATTCAAAAGGGTATATGCATCCCTATGTACATTCCAGCATTATTTACAATAGCCAAGATACGAAAGCAGCTAGGTATCCATCGACAGATGAATGAAGTACACACACACACACACACACACACACACACACACACACAAACACACACACACATCGGGTGGATATATACACAATAGAATATTATCCAGCCATTTGCAACAACACGAATGAGTCTAGCGCAGGGGTGGGGAATATCCAGCCCAAACGCCATATACGGCTTGTGAAATCATTTGGGCTGGCACTGCCAAGGCATTAGAGTTGAGTTAAATATTTGACCAAATATAGTAGGCTAATTTTTAAGTTGATAATTCTGTATGGCCCGTGAATGATGTTATAAATATCCAAATGGCCCCTGGCAGAAAAAAGGTTCCCCACCTCTGGTCTATAAGCTATTATGCCAAGTGAAGTAAATCAGGCAAAGACAAATACCAAATGGTTTCGCTTACGTGTGGAATCTATAAAAGAAACAGATGAACAAATAAAACAAAAACAGGCTCATAGAAACAGAGACCAAAGGGATGACACTGAGAAAGAAGAGGGTGGAGATGTGTGAAAAAGGTAAAGGAAATATAGTCAATAACATTGTGGTAAGTTTGAACAGTAACAGATGATTAGATGATTACTAGAATTAGTGGGGTAATCACATTGTAAGGCATACAAATATTGAATCACTATATTGTACACCTGAAACTAATACAACTAATATAGTATATAGGTAAATCGGGAAAAAAAATTTTAATGAAGTAATTTTAAAAAGCTGGAACCAATGTGGTAGAGAATGAATGTATCGGAAGATAATTTTTAAAAAATATATATTTTATTGATTTTTTTACAGAGAGGAAGAGAGGGGGATAGAGTTAGAAACATCGATGAGAGAGAATCATCGATCAGCTGCCTCTTGCATACCTCTCACTGGGGATGTGCCCACAACCAAGGTACATGACCTTGACTAGAATCGAACCTGGGACCTTGCAGTCAGCAGGCCGACGCTCTATCCACTGAGCCAAACCGGTTTTGGCAGGGAAGATAATTTTTGCTTTGCTTGTTTAAAACAGGGAATAAAGTGCTGTAGTATTCCAGCGGGTAGTATCCTTTAAGGTAGTGTTTAGGCTAGATTTGGACAAGCAGGGAAAATCCTTCAATTAAGAAAAAATAGGGGAATTTGCAATAGCATGGATGGACCTAGAGGGTACTATGTAAAATGAAATAAGTCAGAAAAAGACAAATACCAAATGATTTCACTTATATGTGGAATCTAAAGAACAAAATAAACAAAATAGAAAACAGACTCACAGTTGCAGAAAGCAGAACAATGGTTGCTATAGGAAAGGGGGGTTGGAGGTCTAGGTGAAAAAGGTAAAGGGATTAGAAGTACAAATTGGTGGTCTCAAAACAGTCATGGGGATGTAAAATATATAGAGAATATAGTTAAAAATATTGTAACTATGTATGGTACCAGGAGGGTACTTGAAATATTGGGGAGTCACTTTGTAAAGTATATGACTGTCTAACCACTATGTTGTACACCTGAAACTAGTATAAAATAATATTGAATATAAACTATAATTGAAAAATAAATTTTTAAAAAAAGAAAGAAGATAAAAAAATTACTGAATTTCTATGAGGTTAACTGACCTGAACAGCCTGTAATTGACTATTTTTCATCTATAAAACCAAAAATTTCACATGGTCTGAGCTACAGCAAAACTTAATATGGACTAAGTTTTACACTTGTTAGCTTAATTCCGTTTAATTGCAAACCCTGCACTTCAAAACATATCTTTTAATTCTAATTTATATCAAGGCTGTCCTTCTGTCACTCTAATTAATATTGTCCATTGCAATTGTATTTTACTTCAAAAAATTCAGTTCACATATTAAAATTAAAAAATCTTAAAACATCCTTCTACTGTATGCTTGTTAGAACTCAAATTCAAGAGAACAGAGAGCTCTTCTGAAGTTTAAAGACATCACATTCTATTAATTACATGAACCAACCAAATAATCATATTGCCAAATCTCACTTTTTGACATTCCATGAATAGAAAAAAAATACTTAGGAATTTTAAAATAATAATTTTTAAGTCAAAGTGTTATGGTTGATCACCGTCCGATTTCAGGCTAGGTTATATATTTTTCAAAATCTTCTCTCAGTGAGTATAGCTATTCTCCACTTAATAAAATGCCAGCCTACAAACAGTAAACTTCACATTTTAAGAGTGGATGTATTTATTGTGAGAAACTTTTCCAAATGTAAAACTCTCTATACATTAAAAACAAAAGCTTTCTTCCCTCTTTCAGGGAAACAGAGTTCTCTAAAGTTCTTTTCACTGAAGGAAGAAAAAAAAAAAGAAAAAAGAAAAGAAAAGAAAAAAAGACTTGTTTATCCCTAGTGATTAAAATAGATATGTTTTTATATTTAAAAATAAATGGTTGGGACTTTGTATTGTGGATTCAGCTTTATTAAAAAGACTGACATTAAACAAACCACGGATTTAGGTATTTTTACCCCTTCCCCCCAACTTCAGATTACCTGGCTTAATTACAGCATTATCTGTTACACGAAAGATTTTAATTTTCTGTTTTGGTGGCAATCCAAGTTCTTGGTAAAATTCCAATATGGATTTACGTTTCTAGAGGAAAATAAATAACACAGTAAATACTAAAGGTGGGGTTTAATGCAGAGATTTAAACCAAGGTATCAACACACCAGGAAACAAACCAAAGAGTACTCTTCGCCCAATGAACTAAGAGCACGCTCTCCCCACACTGAAGGGAGGTGAGATTTTTTCCATCTATAATCATTACAGTTGGGATCCAACCATGTGCAGAGTGTAGCTCATACACAGCATATGGGGAAAGACATTTATTCTGTAGGAAAAGAAAAAAGAATTGTGCTATATTTATATTTGAATTTTCACTGGAGACTCTTATGTATTAAGAACTCCCATCCTGGAAAATTGGACCATGTCTACTCTGTACCTGTATTCAAGCAGCTAGAAGAAAACACTGTAGGTCACATTCAAATGTATTATATGACCACAAACTTCAAAGTCAATCCCAAATGTGGCCTGGCCAGCCTACGTTTCCCTCCCCGCTAGTTATATCCTCACACTCTTCAAGGCAACTATGTCACATCTCCTTTTAAATCCTCCAGCACTGTGCCCTCTTCCTCTCCCCCTTTGAGCTGATCATCCTGCTTCTTGATTCACTGAAAAAATACAGAAGAATCAAGAGTACTTCCTCACATTCACCGCCTAGTCCATATAAGTGTCTGCACCAGCCGTTATATACTGTCCTCCTGCCACCCTCACTCCAGTTGCCCGAGATGCATGTGGGGAGCGTGTAGAAAATGCCGATGCCCAGGCCTCAGCTTGGAGACTATAGCCTCACGGGTCTCATGTGGCATCCAAGCGTGCGGGTGTGCGTGCGTGTGTGTGTGTGTGCGTGTGTGTGTGTGTGTGTGTGTGTGTGTGTGTATTTTAAAGCACTTCACAGATTGTGATGTGAAAAGGGCTGGGAATCACAATGACAGATGAAACGTTCATGCTCCAATTAAAAGCCATATCCTTCACTGTGTACTCCTAACCTCTCTCATCTAGTATTCAATAGCTTTACTCCTGAAATTGTCCCCATCGTCTTCTGAAACACTAATTGCCCTCTTGCTACTGAAATGTTCCTGTTGGTATACAAAGATATCATAACTCATACATTAAAACAAAACTTTTCCTTAGCCAGTCTCCTTTAGGTAATCATCCTGTTCCCCCTTACAACCACACCCCTGAAAGACTTGCTGAGTCTATTTTCTCTCACACCGACTTTAATCAGGGGCTTTCATCTCGTACTACTCAATGGGAAGTATCAAGATCACCAGTGTCTCCATGTGGTCAAATACACGTCAATACTAGTTTTATTGGCTCCATCAGTAATGCCTGACACAGGTGACCATGTCACATCTTTCCTTGAAAGACTTTCACTTGGCTCCCAGTCACTACTCTCTTGGTTCCTTCATATGCTACCAACCCCATATTTGTAACTTCAATCCCAAATTCTACTCTGAACTCCAAATTCCTAGTAGTTCTAATAACCTAGAAACATTAGGTTTTTGACAACTCAATATGTCATGTTGATGTCATACAGTAACATCAATTTTAACTGGTCTAAAATTGAACTTGATTCCCCCCTTCCTCAACAAGCCTGCTTTCCTTTGTCTTCCAAATCTCAATACTTCTGTTGTTGGACCAAAAATCTCGTGGTCACTTTGACTGTCTTCCTTCTTACATCCCATATCCCATTCATGGGCAATTCCTGTAGACTTTATTTGAAAATATAGCCTACATCAACTACTTCTCACCCCCACTCCACCCAACCATCTTTTGCTTGGATTATTTCAACAGACTCTTAAACTAGTCTCCAAAATTCCACATTCCTGACCCATGGTCTGTTTCCCATTCACAGGCTGGCATGTTCCTTTTAAAACACAAGCTATTTCATGTCTCTGCAATGGCTTCCATCTCGTGCAGAATCAAGTCCCAAGTCCTTACCATGGTTTACAAGGTTCTATACTGCTTTCATCTACTGCTCTTCTCTGGGCTCACCCTGCGTCATTCCTTACTAGTCCAAGAACACATTAAACTGTGGCCTCAGGTCCTTTTTTGCACATTCTGCCAGAAAGCTTTTCTGCCAGATTTTTGCATGACTTGTTCCCTCACTTTATTCAGGTCTCTATCCAAACATCAACTTACCTTCCCTACCTAAAGTAGCACCACTTTCTGTGACTAACAATCCCTCCAGACTACTTTATTAGTCCTCAAAGTACTTCTCTCCATCTGTCATGATTTACAGTTGTTTTTTTTCCTACACAACAGCCTCCCTATCTTACCCCCAATCCCATCAAAATGTAAGCTTCTTGAGAGCAGAGATTTTTAGTTGCTATGTCTGCAGCTCCTGCTGGCTGCTTGTCCCTGCACCCCTGTCTTTGTTTTTCTGCTATTTTAAATATCCCCGAATAAATAACTTTAAGGACATCTTACTTCCTTAATGTCCCGGATCTTTTTAAAATTAAAACCGCTGATATAAATTTCTGTAAGACAAACTGTACCACTTTATATTTCCTGATGTAAAGAGGACCTCTTTCATGAGAATATAGGCAATGCAGGTATATCTATGTACCTGCTGTTTCTGCCCCCTCAACTTCCCTTCTAATCACAAATGAAGCTCCAGCAGGCTCTCAATGGGCCACATTATTCTATGGATGCTTACCTGTGTCTGCCTGTGACAGTCTCTGGTCTATAATTTCCTCCCCACCTTGTACCTCCAAATCTCATTAAAAATCTGTTACTTATCTGTTTAGTCCCAGCTGCAGGACATTTCCTGTCTGGATCCCTCCCTGGCAGCCTTGTCAGAGCAGACTGCTCTTTCACTTCTGCCATCTCTAGACCCTCCATTTACTAGTATTATATTTAACTTACATATCTGTCTGCCTGCTAGTCTGTGAGTCCCTGGATTATAGGGGCTACTTTATTCCCCTGTGTAACTTTAGAGCTAACGACAGTAGCAGGTTAGACACTGCAAAGTGAGCGAAATGAATGGTAAAAAGACTCAGAAGATAGAGGACAAACATCTGTCTGGGTGTGAAGTCCTGATTTGTCTCTTCAAGACACCCCACCTTTCCCTCTTCCTGCTGCTGCATTAATTCTTGGCAGACAACATTCCTGTGTTTGTGGCCTGACAGTATGTGGCCTCTATCCTTCATTTCTAGTTATTAAAAACTTACAAGTCTAAAATAAACACCATGACTTACTCTGAGGATGAACAAATCTACAAGAAACTAAGCTACTATAAAACCAAACCAACAGCAATTTGTAATAAAACAAATAAACAAACAAACAAATCAAACCAAGAATAGCAGCAACTGAAAAACCCTAGCAGCTCAAGATGACACTGATGATGTACTGAAACAAAACATCATTTCTCCCAAATGCAATGAAGACATGCACAGCCAGGTTTATCTGATTATATAGTAAACGTCAGGTACATGCTACTTTCAATACTTCAATTTAAAATGTGCGCTGTTAGTACCGCTTTCTCATTTACTGAGTGGCTGACTTCTGTGGACATGTCATTGGGTGGCACTGGCCTGTAAACACAGAACTGTAATTTTTGGAGCAGCCTACACTCCTGGGAATCTCCCTGGGGCCCTCAGGTGGGACCATACATGCTGAGCAGCTCTGCTTCCATGTCCACGGAAAGTTGTTTTTGCCTCAGTTTCCTCAAGAAGCTACCCTTTTCTCCGAGAAAGAGAGAACATAAACTCACTCCAGTGATTTGTTATGCTTTCCCTTCCCACTCATTGAAACCTCAGGCTAATGTGCCGCAGCACTCTTCCCAAGGCCCGGCTTTCTGTCTTAATCACACTCACTTGTTCCATAACAAAAGTAAACACAAAGGCTCTCATTTAAAAATGTGGCTCCTTGAAATTATTTTCCTGATGAGTCAGATTCAGATATATCAAATTTTAAAAGACTTTAATTTTTAACATTCACATATTCCACCTGGCAATTTAGAAAGAATACTATTTTATCAATTATCAGTTTTTAAGTATGCCAGCAGGATTCTGAGAAAAATTCTATCCTTTTCCAGTAATACAAAATAGGCAAGATAAACAATTTTATCTAAATAACTATAGACTACAACATAAAAAGAAAAAAATGTAATATGTACTTCTCGATTATCTTCCTAATTCACTAAAATTGAGTACTTCAATTTTTTTCTTTTAAAAATCAAAATATTGGCCGTGAGAAAAACTAAATGTTCAAGTTGAGCTGAAACCAGCAACAGTGGAACAGAGATATTTTTTTTTTTAACTTTTAAATAAATAATTTCAAAGGCAATTTAAAAGACTGACAGCAGTGTCACACTTGGATAATCCCATCTCTGAGATTGCATTCCCTCTGCCTTCAAAGTTTTCTGCAATTATCCTCTCACAATGAAAATGCTTCTCTGCTCCCAAGATGAATTGGTTTAATCAACATTGAGGCTACTTAACTTCCCGATTCAAAAATACTACATATCACATCAGCTTTTATGTATAATAAGACACAAAAATAATAAAAGCAAAGTAACTCAAATTTCTTGGAGGCATAAACCTTTTACAGCTTAAAAAAACAACAGCTCTAGCCCTATTATAAATGAACTGATTCAATCAATTTATTTTAGAATGCTTAACTATTTGATATTTTATATTCATAGGTCTTTCTCTCTCTTTAAAAACCTTCTATATCAATCTACTTGCAATTTCCCTAAGGGTTATAATATGCAAGAAGTTTATATACTTCTAGTTTACAATTTTTTCCCCTTTCTGAATCAAAATGGTTTACTAATCAAGAATTCTAAAACTCCTCTTTCACATACCATTCTGAAGAAAGGCCATTCAGAGACAAAGTTTTTTCCTTAATATACTAATACATGTCCCCTAGATCTAGAACATTTATATCTTGAAGAATAAGAAGGGCCTCTGTAGCACTTTCTATACTAGAAAAGTAAGTTATTTTAAAAATTGATGTTGTGGAATAAAAGCACTTCTGTAACATTTTAGTTATTAGTATTACAAATTTTTATGTATAAGACATCATCACTAAGTAAAACAGTAAATTGAGCTGGCAAGTACTTTTCTTAGTTTAGTACTTTTGTTTTTTTTTTTTCTTGAAACTAAAATATTAGAAAAACAATATGAGACTTTGGGAGAGAATTTGGAGACCATCAAGGCCATTATCAGTATCCTGTTTTCATGAATAAGAAAATGGATGTTAGAAAAAAAGAAAATGGATGTTCAAAAAGGTGGAGAGAAGGAGCTAATGGTAGAGATCAGGATTAGAACTCGTTCTTCTGACCCTATGTTCACTCATTTTTCCTCTATCTCATAGTGGTGAGGAAGTAATGTCCACAGACTTGTTGAAGCAGAATGGATTATTCCAACATGAAGCTTGATTTACACATATTAAGCCCGTAAAGATGTGAATTTACAATAATAAAATAAAAAGAAAAATGATGGTACAGCCAAAACCGGTTTGGCTCAGTGGATAGAGCGTCGGTCTGCGGACTGAAAGGTCCCAGGTTCGATTCTGGTCAAGGGCATGTACATTGGTTGCAGGCACATCCCCAGTAGGGGGTGTGCAAGAGGCAGCTGGTCAATGTTTCTCTCTCATCGACTTTTCTAGCTCTCTATCCCTCTCTCCTCCTTTCTGTAAAAAATCAATAAAATATACTTTAAAAAAAAGTGATGGTACATACAATCAATTAGAAAACAGTGGAATCTATTAAATCCAGTAATTATTCACATAATTGACATGAAGGCTAACATGTCACAGCTAAAACTTCAAACATTTGATATTTAAAAAGAAGTTTCAATAAATACCTCACTGTGCTTTTAATTACTGTGGAATTATTTGAAGCCTCACATTATTAGTCAATAAACTGTCAAGAATAGTTCTAAATCTTCAATGAAAAATAGCTAACTTCTCTAATACTTATGAGACAACTCCACTTAGATTTTCTCTAAACACTTCAAACATATCTTTGCTGTTTCCCTTTCTTTGTCCCTAGTCCAGGTTACAGCATAAGCACTGACCTAGTTGCTTAGTTAGAAGCTGCTCTGTGCCTGGCCCTCTAACCACACATCCTCACTCACCCAGCCTTTCACAGATCCCAGCTCCTTCCAAACCCAATCCAACGGCCCCCGGCTTCAAAAGCCTTTATCAACTCTCCCCTAGTGCTTAAACCAACCTCCTAAAAGTCCTCCCTCCACCCAGATCCTTATCATTTACTTGATAAGAATAAATTATAAGACTTGTCAAATTGTTACCTTGTTAAATAAATGATAAGCATCTATCCTGGTTAAAGAATTAGGAGAGCTCCTTGAAGTCTACAAGGTGAAGTCGAAACTCCTTAGCTTTCCACCCTGACAGCAGCACCCACTGGCCCCACACCCACACACGAAGATTGAGACACACCACACTTCTCTTTCCAAGCACATTCTACATACTCTTCCACATTCTACAGACTGTTCCCTCTGCTATGCCTTTAACACATCCTCCTTTCTGGTCTCCTTGTTGTGAACCCTCAGAGGATCTGTCAACCTGAAGTGGCCATCCACACTCTGTGCTTGTTGCTTTTATGATACTGTATTGAGATGGCAGATTTGTGTCCATCTTCCCATTCACTTATGTGTTGCTAGGGGGTGGACATCAAGGCCCAGTTAAGAACGTGAGGCTCTGGAGTCTGCTAGTCACTCTACCTCTTACCAGTGGGGACCCTGAATGAATTACTAACTCTCTTTAGCTCACAAGCTGAAAAGATCACTTAATAAATGGAAAGGCTTAATGCCTATGTTCTTGGCATGTAATAAGTGCTTAACAGAAGTTATCTATGACAAGGAAACAGGAAGCACAGGCTGTATCCTAATTTCCATCCATGTTCACTTCATAAACAATTTACAACAGAAAAATATTTGTCTTAAAGATTAGCAATGTTTTAGTAAACCTAAAGGAGTTTTGTATTCATTAGCAAATACCACCACTATTTCTAAAAAGGCATTCTCTGCTTTTCGTCATCCAATTAAAGATACTAATTGTGCAGAATTTTGAAATTTAAACTACATACTCAGCATTTATTAGTATTCTTTTGGGGGGAAAATGCTTCGTTTGAAAAATTCTGATGTTTTGTATACAACTTTTTCCCAAATAATGAAAGCTCATTCTAATAGAAAATTGCCCTGGCTGGTGTGGCTCAGTTGGTTGGAGCATTGTCCTGTACACTGAAAGTTCCAGGGTTCGATTCCCAGTCATGGCACACACCAAGCTTGTGGGTTTGATATCTGGTCAGGTGTGTACAGGAGGCAATCAATCGATTTTTCTTTTACATACTGTTTCTTTCAACTCCCTTCTCTTTTTCACACACTCTCTCTCAAATCAATAAAAACATATCTCGGGCAAGAATTAAAAAAATAATAACATACACAAAATTAACTTTTACATGCTGTTGGTGTCAATTGTTGAAACAATTTAGAAAGAAAAACATTTAAAAAAACAACAACAAAATAACAACAACAAAAAAGTATTACCGTCTGTTACATGCCAGGCACATTTGAAAATTCTCATGTAATCCTGATAACTAACCTCTTACAATAGCAGTATTATCATCCCCATTTTACAGATGGGCAAATACTGCAGCTTACAGGGTAGTTACTTGTTCCAGATAGTGAGGAGAGATACTGGAACAAACTCACAGACTCCTGGGCTCAATGGCTCTCCGAGACTGAGTCTCCCTCACCCACATTTATCTCATGGACAAAACAAATTTGTGGAAATGGAATAAGCTCAAAACTTAAAGATGTGGGTCTGAAACTAAAAAATGTACTATTTTAGGAATGAAAATACATCCTTACATAAAAACGGGATACGGTTTTTCCTCCTACAGTGAGAGTTGCATTTTTTCCATCATTACTTTCCTTTGGAGTATATCGTAGCACATGACAGTCCTGTACCTAAAAAACACAAACATAAAAAAAAAGAAAGCTAAGTCTGTGCCAAGATACATTTCAACATTACACACCAGTCACTAAAGTTACTTATTTCATCATTTCTCTAACATCAATCACAATCTTAAAATACAGATAACCACCCTGACTTGTTTGGCTCAGTGAACAAAGCATCAGCCTGCGGACTCAGGGGTTTGATTCCGGTCAAGGGCATGTGCCTTGGTTGCGGGCACATCCCCAGTGGGAGGTGTGTAGGAGGCAGCTGATTGGTGTTTCTCTCTCAACAATGTTTCTAACTCTCTCTCCCTCTCTCTTTCTCTCTGTAAAAAAAATCAATAAAATATATATTTAAAAAAAAATACAGATAACCTTTGAAAAAAGTGTCAAATATAACACCCATTAAAAAAAGTGCATGAAACACAAATATATAACAAAGTATTTTTAAAGAAAATATGCACATAACTGTTATAGGACTCCAGGACACGAGGAATAGGGAAACAGACAGGGAAGTTAAAACAAGGCCAAACAGTGTGGGCAAATTGCAGCCAGCTAGTAACTATTATAACTAGGGATTATTTTCTCAAGCCAAGGTCAAAGAGCAAATGGTTACAAAACAAAAAAAACACCTCCCTAATGAGAGAATGCAGAAAGGAAGGAAGAAAGAGGAAAGGAAAACATGGCAGTTTTACTCCCTAACAGAGAAGCTAGCAGTCTCAAGGCTTGGCAAGATAAAAGTTGCCAGGTGCTTCTCATGAATTCTGGGAAGGCCACAATAAAGTAAAAAACAAAACAAAACCAGAGACCTTGAGAATTAATCTGTACCAAAATAGTCAGCAGAGGAATTTTGAAGCCTGTAGATAGGAGGGTATATAAAGCCTTGGACCCCCACCCAATTCCCTCTTCAGATTAGCTGAGAGCCCATTTGCATGTCATAAGCCAGATGTATAGGTTTGCTTGCTTGCTTTGCTTTTTCAATAAAGGTGCATGCTTTAATTTCTTTAATAAATTGGCTTTTCACAACACAGTCAAGGTCTCTCATGAAAATTTATTTATATGAGAAGACACGGATCGAGGTTGGGGACAGCCCTCTTCCACTGACTCAGGGGGCTGTCCGGTCACACCTCTCTGGTGTCGGTGAGAGGCGCCTATAACCTAAACACTACCATTGTCAAGAAGTAGAATCCCTAAAACCTGTGTCTCTCTTCCCTATCAACTCCCAACCTTTCAAACTTTTTTCTCTTTCAAACTTCTAGAACAGTGGTCCTCAGTGTGGTCCAGACCAGCAGCATCAGCATCCCGAGAACTTGGTGGAAATGAAGGCTCAGGCCTCACAGAGACCAGCTACATCGGGACCCCGCCCCCCCCCCCCCCCCCCCCCCCACCACTAGAGCGGGACCCCCCTCCATAGCGGGACCTTGTGATTTAGAACAGCAGTCACCATTCTTTCAGACCTCAAGGATCATCGGCTGGTGACCAGTGATTTAGAAGCCTTCCAGGTGATTCTCAGTCACACTGAAGTGTGCTGCTCAAGAAATAACCAATACCCTTGACATTGATAGTAATCCTTTATTACTTTTCTTTATAATTACTACCTTTGAAAGTACTATGTACTAATGCTGTAGTTGAGTGCTGTCTGCTTTAAACTTTATATAAACGGAATCAGTCTGAATGTAGTCTTCCATGTCTTACTCCTTTCATTCAAGATTACATTTGTAAGGTTCATCCACATTATTGGATGTAGCTCACTGCTGTCCAGCATTGCATCATGTGAATACACCGCGATTTAACCATTCTACTGCTGATGGACATTTGGGTTATTTCTAGTTTTGGAGTATTAAGAGTAATACTGCTATGAACACTGTTGTACAGTTTTCTTGGTGCATACTTGTTTAAATCTTCTAGAAACCCTCAAAGATGGAATAGATTACAAGGTTCACTTATCTCAACTTTACTACATAAGGCTAAATTATTTTCTGAATGGGCTATCCCGATTTACAATCCCACCAGTCATTACTGAAAGTTCCCAAAGTTCCTTTGAGTTCTAGAAACTATAATCTTATCCTTGATCAATTAGTCAATAAAAAATCACTAAGGGCTGGGAGGCTCCTTCTGCTTATTAGCACATAAGCACTATGTGCATGAGCTCTTATTTTATTTACCACCACCTGCCTAAGCCGTTGTCTAAGGCTGGGCCACAAAGATAAACTGAGTTGTCCAAAGTGATTTGGGGAATGATGGTCTCCTATTTTTCAGTGATCTTTTTATAATAATAATGAGAAAGACAACAGCAGACGACATTTATTGGACAATTTCACACTGTTTTACCTTTTAAATGCTTGACATTTATATCTCATGCAATCCTCACAATACCCTTTTGAGGTAGGTCATAATTATTTCACTTAAAAAGTAGTATATATTTTATAGATGAGACACAGTGCTGCAAAGAACACAGTTAAGAAGTGGCAGAACCAAGACCTGAATTCAGGTATTCTGGTCCCAGGGCCCACATTATTAAATAGTAGAGGAGTTTATCTCAGAGAACAAAATGCTGTTTCCCCTAACAAGTGTATAACATCCTAAGTTAGCAAAGAGAGAAAAATTATTTTGGAGTTGTTAGAACTTCATAATGAAAACAAGATGGAACTGAGACTTCTTCTGATTATGAATTAAATTACATCTGTGAGAAGCTAGGCTACAATCCTTACAATCTTTTTTTAATTGTCCCAGTTACCGCATGCCATTGCTAGGAAGGCCGCCACTCAGGCAAGAGTGAGAACATTCTCCAAAACCATCAGAAGTTCTTTAATAGCATTTATACTCAACATAAACTTATTCTTCACCACACAGTTAAATAGTTCAGGACACAAATGTTGCCATTTAGGTTGGCACAAATAGATCTTGGCACACATACAGGTCTGTTCTAACTGCTGTTTCTTACCTGAAGTAAAGTGGTCACATGCTTTTGACCATCTTTGGTCCATAAAGGCATCATTCCCAGCTTCACTGCGACAAGGCCTACTCTACAGGAACCTGGCAATTAAAAAGAAACAATATTAACACAGCTTTTCCAACTTTGCCAATGTGATTCAACAGTATTTCCTGAATCATGGTTTCAAAATAAGGAGCAGGCAAATAAACATGCTAATATATTCAGAGTGAAACACAAATGTTCCCTAAAGATGTAAGCATCTTCAACCATGCCCAACATAAGTCATTGGTACTCGATACATTTCCATATCCCGAACAAATGTAAGAACGACACAACAAAAGAAAATAGTTAAATGGATATACTGTGGTTCTTTTTAAAAGTATGTTTTTACTGGTTTTAGGGAGAGAGGGAAGCATCGATGGGCTGCCTCCAGCATGCCCCCTACTGGGGAACAACCCGAAACCCAGGCATGTGCCCTGACTGGAAATCAGACTAGCAACTTCTTGGTTCATAGGTCAACACTCAACCACTGAGCAACACAGGCTAGGCTAATTCTGGTTTTAAAATAGCGATATTAATAGACGGCATGATAAATCCCTAATTATACTTTGCTTTCCTAGTATAAATTCAAACATCACATCTAACTCCAAAGTTAGCAGGGTTACAAGGATAACACAAGTGGTCATATTGCTAAAATATGTTGGCGTTCCCCATGACACTTAGATTTGTTGTATAAATTGATAAAAGTTGCTCCACTGTGCAATTCCACTGTTTGTAATAAACCCCAACCAGAGCTCACTTTCTCAATAGGAAGGGCCTTATTCTTCTTGATCTGTCCACAGGTGGGTTTAGCACTCTACCAGGCACACAGAGCTGACTCTAGAGTTGCCATTGGCAAGCCTAGAATGCTAGAATATCCAAACTGGAGACATCTGTGTAACACAATTTAGATCATACTCTTCCAGATTTTTCCCTCCGATTTATTTTTATAGTTTTTTTTTTTTTAATCTGAAGGAAACAAGAAAATGTATGCAGAATGATTCTCATTTCACATACAAAACAGCTTTTATTAGTAAGTCTTGATTATTATCAGATATTCACTAACAGCAGAATAGGATGCTGATAATCAACATGCAAACCACAACAAAACATACCCACTTAAGACATGAACAATAAATTCCAGAGATGATAAATTTATCAAGCAGTCACTGTCATTCTGAATGTGCCAGCCACCAAGTAATTAAGAGAACACATCATATACAAAAGAACCACCTGGTTCCCAAGGATGTATGGGCCACGGTTCATCTTTCAGAGGGCACAGTTTACTTGCTAATTGGGCTTTATTTTCTTCGGAGACCATCTGCTTAACAAACTCAGCATTTTCTTCAGAAAGATGCTCATCCCACCAAGTGCCACTCTTGCCATGGAGACTTCTAACTAACAGCCAGATGTCTGTTCTGTAAAAACAAAGATTGAAAGAACCAACCACAGTTCAAAAGTTTCTCCAGGTAACACAGAAAAGAGGGGTCACATGCCTTGGAAAGTGTGATCAGTGCGTTAGGAAAGGGCTTTGATTCTGGGCACGTTTTTCTCCTGACATTCCTTATGATAATAATGGGGCTCACGTTTTAACTGTTAATAGTTATCCTGGAGGAAAAGTTCTTCGTCTTCTCTTCTGGGGTAAATAGATTGCTAACAGAGTAAATCCTCCCTAGACACAGGAGAAGTCAATTGTACGTAAACCTTAATGATTCATAGCCAGTAGAAGTGGCAGAATACGGAATGCCAATCTTTCTCTGATAAGCTCCTCTCTTCCCTGCAATGACATGGCCTAGGCCCAGAATCTGAGGACACTGCATGTGTGAAGACATGACCTCTGATCAGCTGAGCACACCAGGAAAGCCCTTAGGGACTGAGGTCTGTAAGTCTTATATGAGGTGTCAGAAAAGCAAAGCTCTCTGTAGGCTATCCTCCTCTTATAGTCTGATAGATTATTCAAATTAGAGTCCCAATTTGCACTTATTAATTGAATGGCCATGGGCAAGTTACTTCTCCTGTTCAAGCCTCCGTTTTATCTGCAAAACGGAATTATAGTTTCTGTAAAAGAGAATGATTTAGCTCACGTGAGGCTTAGGCGCCTGATACACTTAACAGAGCATCTCGTACTCAGAAAAACGCTCACCAACTGGCGTTTGATTACACTACCGCAGCTGTTGGTAATGCTCGGGGCCAGTCGCTATACGAATTAAAAACAAAAACAAAAATCAGCCCTTCGGTCCTTGAACCGTGCTCCTGACTCCTCTATACCCCTTCCTCTTCCTCCCAGGGCAGAACGCTCTGTACCTGGCCTTGTCATTGTTCCAAGCGGTAGTTTTGCAGGGATTACACACTTCGCGCCCCCACTCTCCTCCGCCCCCTCCCTACCCCACCCCCAACACACACGCACCCTGTCTCTCGCCCGCACTCACCTGTTCCCGAAGCGCCCGGCAGCATCCAGGCCCCCGGCGCCGCGGCGCAGCACCTGGGAGCCGGCCAGAGCCAGCCGCCTCCAGCCAAGCATGGAGGAGCCGGGCAGGACTCGGGTCGCTACACTTTCGGGGGACCCTCCGCTCTGCTTTCAGGGAGTCTCCACGCTGCTGTCACGCGTGCACCAGAACCCTCCCGGAGCCGTCCCGCCTGCTGTCTGCCTTTGCCCTCCGGAGCGGAAATAGCCGCAGGAGCCTCTTCCGGTCCGTCCTGAAATACGCTCCGGTCACGTGTCAGCCCCCGGAACTATAGTTCCGCCTCCGAAATAGTCCTACTTTGTGTAGGAATTGGTGTGGGGAGGCCAGGGGCTGATTCTCTCTCCAGGGGGCTGGGGGGAAAAGTATGAGTTTCAGCTTTAGTAGAATGAGGCGTATTAGAAACAGAATTCTTAAGGAAGTGAAATCACTTCTAAATAATGCGGGCTTAGCAATTATTATACTAAGCAGAGCTTGATTGTCTTATAGTGGTTTATGTTCCAAACAGGCTAAAAAGAAGGTATTATTTTTATATTATGCATGAAGGAATACAGACTCAGAATTTTTTGCTGGTCTCAAATAACACATCTGGCAGGTGGAAACAGGGCTGGCACGTTTTAGCATAAGATAATATGACCAAGGTGATGGTGTGTGACTTCCAGGCCAGGGTCATAAAAGGTATTGCTACTTCTATCTTTGTAGAGTGGATTGTTACCCAATGGGAAAGCCAGTGATTACATCCTGCAGACACTCCAACAGCCCTGTAGAGAGGCTCATGTGATGAGGGTCCAATTTTTTTAGCCAGAAGTGAGCTACCTAGCAAGTGGATCCTCCAGCCCCAGCAACCCTTCATATGACTGCAACCCATGAAGGAACTTGAGCCTGAACTACCCAGCCAAAGAACTTCAGGGTTCCTGACAAAAGATACTGCCAAAGAGGATAAGTGATTACTCTTATTTCGAGCCACTCAATTATAGGGCAATTTGAACAGCAATAAGTAGCTAATCCACATTCTGTACAAAGTTCTGTCTTTGGTTCCAGACCCAGCCTAATCACCCTGTGTGTGCCATAGGCATTCATTCCACTCCAGAGTCTGTTTCCCAATTTGTCAAATGGGTATTTGTAGACATTTGGAAATAAGAACTTAAATTTTTTTTTAATTTATTTATTTATTTTTTTTTTTTAGCTATTTTAACGTCCTCTTGTTTATAGCTATCTGGCTAGCCTGGCTTAAAAGGTCCAGAATATGGTCAATTCGGGGTTACTATTTGGACTTCAGTGGGCTCAAAATCTTTGCTTTTCTTGCTCTTCAATTTCACCTATTGCTGTTGCAGTTACCCAGGGGACTTTTAAATATCAATAACACGTTGAAACTTGGAGGGGGAAAAAATCACAACTCTTCATGTTAGCCATGCTAACTGGCTTCCCAGTTACATAAAAATTGCCCTTCATTGAACACATGTCTTGAGGTGTGCTACTTGAAGAAGCTAGGGTAAAAAAGTACTTGCCTACTATTGCCAATAGTCAGCATTTCTTATGCATATAGTGCGCTATAGTATGTGCTCAGTATTATGGAAGCTCAACATTGAAAGACCGCCAGGAGCACACCTGAACTCAAACAAGGTTAAAGTTTAATTGGCTTGTTGCAGCAAGAAGTGTCTACACCTAAAGGAGGGACTTGTTATAAGATTTGGACTTATTCTGGGTGACTTTAAGGTGGGCATACATGAAGCAGGGACTTGTTTTGAAATAAAGGCTATCAAAAAGCAAGAACAGTTCAGCAATTGGGCATCTCGATAATTGTGTTCTAGAGGAAAGAAGGACAAAATAAGACTAGGGATGATGTTGGTAACAAAGCAGAGGTCATCCAGAAGAAGTAACTGATTGTCATTTTGTACCCGTGGTGTGGGTTGGGTAAGCTCTGTTAGAAACAGTGTGTTGACATTCCATTATAAATTACACTGTAGTCTGCTTACTAACAGGATTAATGTTTACTCTTTTAGTAATTTTTTCACTGAATAACAACCCCATGTGATATACTATAATTATCTTAATTTTACAATCCATAAAATAAGCACAGAGATATTACATAACTTAAACAAGATCACTCTGCTAGTAAGTGGTAGAGCTGAGATTTAAATCTCAGCCATGTGACCAGAGAGCTTGTGCTAACCATTTTGTTTCTTTGGCTCTCTATGAAAAAAACATGTTACTGTCCTCACATTAGAATTTCTTTATAGTTAAAGAAGAAAACTGGCAAACACATGACACATAGTGGTCAATGAGGATCGAGAAGGCAACCATTCAGTCTAACATTTGCCCCTCGTGTTAAATCTCTCTTGGTAATGGGGATCTTGAGTCAATGAAACCCTCATCAGGCACCACTGCTAAACTGAATCAAAGCAAAATGTGCATCATCTGTTATACAGCAAGTCTCCTGATTGCCAGATGGGACTAAGAAGTATCATTATAGTCAATTTTGTCACTGCAGTATGCTGCTAATTGACAAAGACCAGGCCCAATTCTTGAGGAACCCAGATGAGGCTATTTTTATATACTCAGGTGTGACCTCGAGTCTTCCATTACTTCTGATATCATCCTTCAGAGACTGGCTTAGACCCTGGATCCCTGATACCATTTTGTCTCTGTGGGACCTCAGTTCCTCATTTGAAGAAAGATAACCTCCATAATCACGTTTTTAGTATAGCAGGTCCTGAAATAATGTCCTTTCATTCATTTGTTATAAGATTGATGAGATGTTGTAGGAAGTAACTCTTTATATCAATTAGCTTATGGTAGAATTGGTTTTGTTATATGTCATTTCCCTTAAAATCGCAAAACCTGTTGATGACATTAAGTGAGGTTTTACTGTACTGTAATTGCATGATTCTTACTCCTATAATTAAAACCAAAAGGTGATATAATAAATGTTCTTCTTATAAAGTAAAATATTAGGAACAGTTTTATTTTTGAAGGAGTATGTTTCAAACCAAGGGTTTATTGGAAATATTTTTTCTATGTGTTCTCGCCTTTATGCTCTTCAGTTAGTTTTTATAAGGTTTGTGACATGTTCTGAATGGTTGGTTTACTGCAGAATAATACATTTTTCATTGTTGGTTAATTTGCATTTTATATTCATTTATGCCATCTCTTAGTTCATCACATGCATTATATTTGAAATTAAAAATCATTTTCAAGTGAGTTTAGACTTTTCATTAAATTATCCTTGGCTTCCTTCCATTTTTTCTAAAGATAATTTAGCATATTTTAAAATTGGATGAGGGAATAAATAAAATGAACTTTAAGAAATTTTGAACTTTGAGACTTAATTGCTGGCTCATATAGAAAACTTAAAAGGCCATATTGCAAACTCCACAGATGCTCATTTAGTAAGAAGATGAATTATGCTTCAATGTCTCCCATCAAGACCAAATTACAATTTTCAACTTCAATATAATGATTTTTAAAGCACAATATTTATTCATAAATTTCTAAGTCAGCCCACAGACTGTGGGGCTCCCAGAGAGGACCAGAATGGAAACACATTTGGTTTGAAAAAAACCTTAAAAAATAAAATAAAATAAAAGCAGTGTGGCCTTGATGTGATGGGGTTTAAAGTTTCTCGGCATCCTGCCCCTCACGTTGTATTCAGAATGGTTCTGAAACTTGATGTACTTAAATGTATATGCCTTTCTTTAAAGTTCTGTGATGACTGAACAAAAACGTTAGTGACAGACAATGAAGAATCACATGTCAGAGGATCCAATGCTTTCACCCAAGGTCAGCCCCTTCCCCCTGCTCTTCCTTCTGATGCCAGTGCTGTTCCGACTGCTGGAATGTGACAGTAGACGAGTGACTATGCTTGTCACCTGGAACCATGGTCAGGGTGTCCCCTCTGATCCCAGAATATACGGAGTCTTGGGAAACTCCTAGAAACCAATTTGATTTGGGAGTCCCAGAAGAGTGAGGAAAAACTAACATATGGCTCTTGCTAAGTGGCATATTTTAAGTGGTTTACATGTATTAACTCATTTACTCCTAGGAAGTTGCCACTAGTGTTCTCATCTTTATGAACGGGAAACTGAGCCATAGAGAAGATAAGCAGCTCATCCAAATTCACAAACCTTAAGCCGTGGAGCCAGGGGCTGAGCCCAAGTAGGACAACTCTGGAGTCCAAGTGCTTCCAGGCTCTATTGTCCTGCCTCTTTTCCCAAGAAAAAGGAAGCCGCATAACACATTATTGGAACACTCAACTTGGCCTCCAGGCGTTTCCCCAGGTAAGCCAAGACTGGGTAGTGCTAAGTCTGCATGTTTAGAGATCTAATCAGTCTGGATTGGAATCAGTTGGGTTCAAGAGAGAGCAAGGAGGCCAAACTGCTTGAGATATCCCACCATTCAATCAGATACAACCTTCCTGTCAAGAAAGAAACAGGAGCTCTGTAATGTCCTGTGTCAGAGCCTCTTAAACTTAAATGCACATAAATATTACCTAGGGATTTTAATAAAGTGCAGTCTGATTTGATAGATACGAGGCGAGGCCTGAGAGTTTGCATTTCTAATAAACTGAGGATGTTGTAGATGCTACTGGTGAGCAGACCACCTCACACTTTGGGCTTAGAAAAACCACTACAGTATTTTATTATTTGTATGGCTTCGAATCAGAAAGGGCACAGTGGGGATGTTTTGTTTCTGTTTGGGCCTCACCTGAGATGACTCAAAGACCAGGTGATGTCAGCCAGGAGGCTGAAATCATTTGAAGGCTCATTGGCTCTATATCTGGTGCATGATGATACCTACCAGCCAGGACCTCAACTAGACTGTTTGCTGGAGCACCTGGATGTACTTTCTCCATGTGGCTGCTTGGGCTTCCCTACAACATGGTGAAAGGGTTCTAAGCACAAGCATCCCAAGAGAACCAGGAGAAAGCTATGTTACATTTTATGACCTAGCCTCACAAATCACCTGGAATTACTTCACTTAAGACACAAGCTGGCCCAGATTCAAGGAGAAGAAGCATAAACCTACCTCTCGAGGTGAACATGGCAAAGTCACACTGAAAGATGAGCACCTGGGATGGTTTCAGCCATCCTTAGACAAAGTAACTTTCCAGAAGCACCCACTTGTCTGTGTCCATGTAAAAGAATAGAATTGCATTCAGGTAGCTGCAGGGGGTGACCAATTGCTGACTACCATGACAAACCTATCCTGTAAATCTGTTTCAG